CAGTTTCCAATACACTGTGCACATACAAAGTCACCATGCTATTTAATATATTTAGATGCAGTTAGACATTCACTTACTTGTCTTTCTCTTAGTAAAACTGCCTTCACCAAGGACAGAGAACTTGGTCTTAATCACCAGCATTTCATTGAATATGCTATGAGCCGCAGGCTGTGCTAAGGACTTTTCCTAGCTATATTCTCTCACAGCAATCCTGCACGACACATACTGTTGCTCATCTTACAGATAAGAAAGGTGAAGTCCAGAGAGCTTATGTCACTTGTCTAAAGTCACACGGCTGACAAGTGGTAGCATCTTTTTCCTACCCTGCATGCCTAAGTCAGCTCAGAATCCCTGGGCCCTGCTCAGAAGCTGTTCAACAAATGTTTGTGGTATTCATTAAAAAAAAATGGGCAGATCAGAGCATGGTAGATGAGATGTGGGTTTTGAAGGACAGGCAGAGTTGAGTTAGGCTGAACTCCAGTACTAGTTAGAAAAGTACAGGGGGTGTGTGTGTGTGTGTGTGAGAGAGAGAGAGAGAGAGAGAGAGACAAGGAGAGAGAGAGAGAAAGAGAAACAGACAGGCATGCATCCATTGCCGTCGAATTGGCTCTGTGGCTGATAGGAGAGTTCACATGGAGGAAGAGCAGAAGAAAATATTGAAAAATAAGTTGGGAAAGGTAGGTTGATGCTAGATGCAGAAAGGCCTAGACTGCCCAGCTAAGAAGGCTGAACTTGTCAGAACTTCAAGGACACAGCCATCTCAGAGACTCCAGTGGATCCTCCAGATTCCCTGACCCAGTGAGCCACCTGGCACCACCTGACTTCTAACCTGACACTCATCCTCCTGCCTAAACACCCCAGCACCAGGGTCACCTCCCTAGAGCACATTAGAGGGCTGAGCAGGTGGCCCTGGGAGGAGCAGGGAGGGGGCAGTGCTGAAGGTCAGCGAGGCAGGCACACACTCCTAACAGAGGTACTGGAGCAGCACCGCTGGGCACAGACACAGGCAAACACGTTTGAGCAAATTGGAATGCCATAAAAGTCTATTACAGCAAATCAAACAGCAGTCAGCATGACAGCCATTAGCTTGAAATGAATACACGGGGACTTAATGAGGTCTGTCGAGGCTGGCTTGGTGAATTAAGTTGCCAATTCTAGCAGGATTTCCCTTTTCTTTACGGACTTGAAAGCATCTACGCTGCCTCGTTAGGGCTTCGACAAGTGAATTGCAGGGCCTTTCACCCTGATAAAATGGATAATTACATGGAGTACTGCTTAGTGAGGGGAGTGGGGTGGGCAGGAGGGGAACGAGAACAAACAAAACCCAAACACACACCTGCCCAGCTTCTCCTGAGCTGGGGGAGGGCTGGACTGGGCAGAGGCTTTCAGAGGGAATGGAGGTCCAGGAGAGGTGGGCAGCAGGTTGACACATGGCCTTGAACCGCCTCCCACCCCTTGCTGTTCCTGGCCTGAGGACTTGGGTGCACGTGGGCCAGGTCTCCAGGAAGCCATGAAGGGACTGAATGTTCACATCCAAGATGGGCTGCCCTCAGCACCTCTCAGAAAACTTCTAGTGGAATCCTCCAAGGCTTCCCAAACCTGGCTGTTCTCACCGTTACCAGCGGAGCTTTAGAAATGCAGCTTCCTGGGCTGGCTCTCCCTAGCCTACTGATTCACAATTGCAGGGGGCGAGAATATGCTTCCTAACCAGTCCCCTGGGAAATTCTGCTGGGGCATGTTTGGGACCCTCTGATTCCTCACTTTCCCAATACACAGTGCTGGATGGCTGGAGAGAAGCGGTCCTCCTACTTCTGCTTGCATTACTCCAGGGATGGGGAGCTCAGCACATTCTCAGCAAGGCAGGGGCACAGCCTGTGTGCACGGGTGTGTGGGGGCAGTCTTATCACTAGAAAGCTCTTCCTTAGATAGACCTGGATTTGCCACCCTGTAGCTTGCTCCCTGCGCCAATCCCTGGGGTCTGCACACAACAGACCCCATCATTATTGGGGCCCTACAGCTGAAGGAAGAGAAGCTAGGAGGGTAAGTGAAAGGGTACAGATGGCTAAGATGACCAGGAGAGGAACTGAATGGGTAGAGGCAGCCACCAGAGCTTCTCCGCCATCCCACAAAAAACAATAAGGCACTGAAGGATGGCAAAGAGCTTCTCCTGCTGGGTTTCATCCTCTGATCATGGGATGTCAGCCCTGGAAGAGGTCTGGTTCAACCTCTTGTTTGAATCTGTAGGGCCTGAAGCCAGCAGACTAGAACCCAGGTGTCTTGACTCGGTCTCTCTCTTCCCACAAAACAGCACAGGAGCATCCACTGTTTACCTCTACCAGACTCTGCTGGAAACACACCTCCTCCAGGAAACCTGCTGAGATTTCTCTGGTCACCCATGGCAGACTCTGGCATTCACACCCAACAGGGTATACAGTGCTCCCCCACCCTGTTTCTCCGGCTTGCATCCTCACCCTGTTCATATCTGCAGGGCCTTTGCTGCTTAATCCCACTTCTAAAGGGCTGGAGCCTGGGGTTTCCGTGACCTCAATGCAAGCTGGAAACCTTGGGCTCATTTCTGGGCCACGGCCCAGGAGACTCTGGGCTGGTACCCTACCTGGGGTCAGAGCCAGGCAGCTAGGTTCCAGCTCAGGTGACCACACCAGGCCAGGGCTGGTCAGGAGTGGCCAGGCCTCTGTCCAGCTGACACCACATCCACACTGGCCACACTGAGCAGCCCCAAGCAGGGCATCGAGTATCAGGCCACTAAAGTGACCGGGGACGTTTACACATGAGCAAGTAAACCACATGGGCCTTCCTCCAAGGATGGGGTGTCCTTTGCAGCCAGCCCCTCTCAGCCTGCCCTCTCCTTGTCAGATGGGTAGACGCGCACTTTTGTTTTTATTAGATGAGGAGGGCTTTGGCGCAGAGAGGTGAAGTGACAGGCCCAGACGCACCCAGCAAGCTGGGAGCAGAGCAGGGGCTGGACGCAGGGTCTCCTGCCTCTTGTTCTAATTCCTGTCATTCCACATGCCTGTGGCCTCCCAGGTCTCTGTACAATGATAGCCTGGCTCAGAGCCAAGCCCACAGCAGACACTCAATAAATATTTGTTAAATAAATGAATGAATGACTGAAGAGACTCTCTCCTTGGAGGCACAGGCCTTTGATGAATCCCAGGAGATTTCAACAGGGCCAAGTGTTGGAAGTCACATCTCCTGGAGAAGGAGAGAGAAAAAAGCTGGGCCCTGGCCCAAGGGTGGGAGAGGAGGGACGTGACCCCTTGTCTCCTTGCCGGTGTGGCTCTCTGCTGCCCCCTGAGAGGGAAGACAGAGGGCAGCCATGCCTGCCAGGATGGCAGCTGAGCAATGGGTCCAAGGCTCATTAACTCTGAGCCATGCCCTTGGTTTCTGAGCCCAGGCCTGGAGTGCAGGCTGGCACGTAGAGACCCTTAATTAAATTAGGGAGACTTCCAAATGAGAGAGAGCAGGAGCCAAGCTGCAGTCCCTGGGCATGCCGGCCACAGTGCAGGGCACCGTGCCCCCATGTTTAGGACTGTGGGCTCCCCAGTCCTCTCCCACTCTGGGTGGGAGAAGGGCATGGTGCCTCCGCGGCGGCCCCCTGCACATCTGTCCTCTCTTCCACCTGGTGCAAGCATAGAACCCCTGGCTCGCAGCTGAGTAACGGAGGCCAGGGAGTGGCATGTACGAGCAAGATCTTGTCACCCTTGAGAGAGTCTGAGCTTGCCCTGGAAGCCAGGAAGCTCGAAGTTGAAGCTGCGTGACCTCGGGCAAGCCACTCTCCCATGCCTAGCCTCATGGTTGAACTAATCGTGATATTCTCTAAAGACTCTTTGTTTCCTGATCCAATGGCTGATAGCATATAGGGATTAGAACGCAAATGACATGGTGCCAACCTGCCTTTCTAGAGGTTCTGTCTCCCATCCCAACCCTTCACTGCCACCGCGCAACTCAAAACTCTGAGGGCAGGCCTGAAGGACACCCAGCGAGAACCTGCCTGCTTCAGAGTCTTTGAATCACTAATCACCAGACCATAAGAATGCCATCAGCCACCCAGGCGAGGGGCTGCAAGCAGTGGGAACCCTGGTGCCATCGGGAGCTGGCAGCCAGCTTATTAACGAACCATTTGTAATGCAGTAATTTGTACTTCTCAATTACCAGCAATGGCTTGATTTTACACACATGCACTCATGCAAACATATTCAGAGTACACAGTACAGGGGCCCAGGAGACCGCTGGGCTAGAGAAAGCCCCTTCCTAGAATTGTATACTCCCTGAGTCCTGGGGGCACCTGATTCTGGCCAAAGTCCTGGGGTGAGGTCTGCCCAAGGCCCACAATTGGATATGAATGGAAGTAAAGAGGGTGCGACACGTGCTTCTCCCAACTCTTTTTTTTTTTTTTTTTTTTTTTTGAAATAGAGTCTCACTCTGTTGCCAGGCGCTAGGCTGGAGTGCAGTGGCACAATCTCGGCTCGCTGCAACCTCCGCTTCCTGGGTTCAAGCAATTCTTCTGCCTCAGCCTCCCGAGTAGCTGGGACTAAAGGCACACGCCACCACGCCCAGCTAATTTTTGTATTTTTAGTAGAGATGGGGTTTCACCATGTTGGCCAGGATGGTCTCGATCTCTTAACCTTGTGATCCGCCCGCCTCAGCCTCCCAAAGTGCTGGGATTACAGGCTTGAGCCACCACGCCCAGCTGCTTTTCCCAACTCTTATCCCACCATTAGCTGCAGCTGGAGGTATGAGGGTCAGCCTCCAGCACAAGGTTCCCAACCTACAGCCCAGCTGCTCTTCCCAACCCCAGGCTGGGCCCTGATCCCCAGGGTACCAGCATGTTGACCAACCTGCCCAGAGTTGGTACCTGGGCTGAGGTCTGGGCCGAAGAGCCAGAGCTGCACTCCCTGCCTGACTCTTCACCTACACACTTGTGGTCTGGGGAGAAGCAGGTCCCTGATACCCCCAGGTACGACCCTGGCAGCTCCTACCTCAGGGATGCGGACGCTGTAGGGCTGATTGTGAAATGTGGGCGCATTGTCATTCACATCCCCGACCTGAATGTTCACCTTCCGTGTGATCACCTGGCAAGAGAAAGGTGGGAATTAGCGCTGCCACCTGACTCTTAACCCTTCCACCCAAGGGACCCAGAAGTCCTGTGACCCCAGGAACATGTCTCCAGGGCCCCAGGGGACACTCACCCCCTGGTGGTCGCTGACAGAGAACTCCACTGTGAACTCTGACTTGGTCTGAAAGAAAAGTGAGAGAGGAAGGGGGCAGTTAGGTGGTGCTGAGTTAGGTCCTGGCTCCCAGGCCCTAAATGGGGTGGGAGGGGTTCTAGGATTGCCCTAGGAGCTTGCCTGGAACCAGGTATCCAAAGGCTTCCCTAAAATACCAGCATTGCCCTTTGGGTTGGGGAAGCAGGCGTGGAATATGGATCCTTGCTTTAAGAGAGCAATAAAAGGATGGAAGCTAAGCATCTTGGTGCTTGTCTTGGCTCTGCCTCTAAGGTGCTGTGTGACACTGAGCAAGTCACTGCACACCTCTATGGCCCCTCCCTCAAACGCAAGGAGAGGGTAAGGGTTGGGAATGTGTCACATCTTTACTTTAACTTGCTAAGGGCTACCATGCCGTCAATTCCTGCTTCTTTGGATACTGGGGGAATGTTTACTGGGGGTAGGGGTAGACTTGTACCCTCCATGGAGTCCCATTCTAGAAGGGATGAACCCAGGGTCACTGTCCCTCTTGCCTCTCCAATGTAGCTGCTTGCTTGGAGATACCTCTAACGACCCATTCCAACCCTATGTCCAGACACCAGCATTGGCCCTTGAAGAGGAATACCATTCAGGCAGGAAGACGCCACTTCGGAGTCAGAATGGGGTCTTAGAGGAAGATCCCAAAAGACGGTGGACCATCCCTCCCCTGGCAACTCTTCCTGTCCCCGAGACAGAACAAGGGCAGGGGTAGTGGCAAGTCATACCTCTCTGTCCAGTGGCTGCCGGAGCCACACCACGCCGGTGTCAGGCTCCACTGCAAAGAAGCGAGAGGCCTCCTCTCCAGACACGCCAAACACCAGGGGGTCGTTGTCCATGTCTCGGGCCAGCAACTGGGTCACAGAAGAACCTGGAGTAGCCAAGGGAGAAAGCAGAGGGAAAACACGGGAGGTCAGGTTTCTGCTTTCCTACCTTGCCCAGGTGGCTGAACTCTCAGCAGGGAGCTGCCACTAGCAAGAGATCATGCGTCTGTGGCCACAGATCATGCGTCTGTGGGCTCTGACCCAGGTACCCCACCTCTACCCTGGTCCACTTGTCACAGCGCATCACAGCCGTATCAGGGAACCACTCATCATGTTCTGGTGTGTAAAACATAGCTGTGACTTCTGCCTGCCCTCCTTTCTCTGATTTTAGTTTGAAGACCTCGTTCTCAAGTGGCTCAGATAAGGACAGGCCTTCAATATTTCAAGTTATGTGTTCCAAGATGAGTGCACAACTCAGTGCTAGCCAATCAGAGCATGCCATTTCCCTGGTCTTGATGATTGGCTCAGGGATGAGCATGTGACCCAAACTAGCCAATCAAAGGCAGCCTTTGGACTTTTGCTGCAACTACTGGGAAAGAGGAGCTCTCTTTCATGAGAGTTGCTCATTGGCACTGTGGGCAGCCATCTCTGGCACCACACAAGAAAAACTGGCCTGAGAATGAAGCCCACAAGGAGGAAAACAGAGCCAAATGATGTATAGAGAGACAGATTCCTGATGGCTTTCTGAGGGTCTGCAGCCAGCTCTGGCTATTAGCTTCATCCTCTGGACTTCTCAGCTTTATGAGCTAATAATTGCCCTCACAACCTTTTCTTTGGCCTAAGTCAGTTGAGTTGGATTTCTGTCTTTTGAAAATGGAAGCATCTTTTCTAACTCAGAATAATTTGCAAAATCTTTTGTCATTCATTCAAGAGTGACCAGGTGCTGGCCTTACGATGAGCACTAGAATACACAGAAGTTAAGAAGATATAGCTCAGTCTCAAGGAACTCCAGTCTAGAACTGGGTGGCTGGATCTAGTTTTCATCCTCAAGAAGGGGATTGAGAGGCAGGTGTCATCCCTCACCAGGAAGCAAAGCCCTGGCCCGAGGCCACCGAGGCTTCAAGATGCCTGGCCTATACCTTGCCTAAGAAGTGCAGGACATCTTCTCTTGGAGCTCATAGCTCCCCTGTGTAGCTTTCGGGTAGGGTTGCCAACTGCCCTGCTTTGCCCAGAACTGAAGCATTTCCCAGCACACGTGCTAAAACCAGGAAGCCCCAGGTAAACTGGGATGGTTGGTTTCCTTAGCTTCAGAAGGTCCTTAAATGCACCGGAACTATACACAAAATATTATGCGTGAACAGCGCATCGTTTTCCAAAGGCAGTGTCTATAGTCTTCATCTGATTCTCAAAGGGGTGAGCAGATAGGAACCATGGCCTTAGGCAAATCACTTCTTTCCAGGTTTCAGTTTCCACTATAAAATGAGACAGACACCACCTGCCCCAAATACGAACTCACATTTACCACATAGCTCTGAAAATCAAGCTAGATAAAGGGAAAGGATTCCAAATTTTTGGAATTTTATCTAGAAAAGAACTTTCAGGACACTGCTAACATAACGATGCCAGCTAACATTTTTGAGCCCTAATCATAAGCCAGGGCTCTATCATAAGCACTAATTCAGACCATAATGTGAATTCTCCCCATTTAACGAACAAGGCAACAAAGAATGATAAGAGGTAATTACCTCACAGTCAGCAAATGGCTGAGCTGGAATCTACATCCCAGGCATATGGGACTCAGAGCCTATATTTGTTTCCACAGCACAGACATCTCAACACTCGATATGTAAACTCAAGATTCAGGACTTCATGGATATGACCTATTGGATCCTAATGGGAAGCCCAAGATTTGGAAAAGGAAGACACTGGGCATGCACTAGGCTCTTATGAGATGCCAGACACAAGGTCCATTCATATGGGTTCTCTCATTAAGTCCTCCCAGCAAGTCTGTATGGTAGTTGTTATTCTACCCATTCTACGGATTAGGAAGCTGAGGCTCAGAGAGGCAAAGCAGCTTCTCCAAGGTGAAGCAGCGGAACAGCAGAGCAGGAAATGGCAGCATCCAAGGTGATGGGAGAAAGTGAGGAGGAGGAAAATCGTGGAACATCTTCAGAGCCCAACCCTAACCCATTTCAGATTTGGAGAAGCTGAAAGCATTTAGCATGTTGCCCAAAGTACAATGGTGAGCCACAATGGCAGGATTCAAACCCAAGTTTCCAAACTCCCAGATTCCTAGTTCACTGCTCTTTCTAGATGGTGTAAGAGGAAGTAAGTGAAAGTCACAGACAAATCAAGCGCATCTTCCCAAAATTGCCTGATAACAAATAAGTGTTTTATACTAAAACAGGAAGACATTGAGAGCAGCATTTGATTAATTATTATTATTATTATTATTATTATTTTTGAGACAGAGTCTCACTCTGTCACCCATGCTGGAGTGCAATGGCGCAGTCTTGGCTCACTGGGACCTCCACCTCCTGGATTCAAGTGATTCTCCTGCCTCAGCCTCCTGAGTAGCTGGGATTATAGGTATGTGCCACCACACCCAGCTAATTTTTGTATTTTTAGTAGAGACAGGGTTTCACCATGTTGGCCAGGCTGGTCTCGAATTCCTGACCTCTTGATTCACCTGCCTTGGCCTCCCAAAGTGCTGGGATTTGAGCCACCATGCCTGGCTCTAATTAATTGGTTTTTTGGAGATAGGGTCTCGCTCCGTCACCTAGGTTGGAGTGCAGTGGCGCAATTTTGACTCACTGCAACCTCCACCTCCTAGGTTCAAATGATTCTCCTGTCTCAGCCTCCCCAGTAGCTGGATACAGATATCCACCACCATGCCCAGCTAATTTTTTTGCATTTTTAGTAGAGACGGGGATTCACCATGTTGGCCAGACTGGTCTCGAACTCCCGACCTCAAGTGATCTGCTGCCTTGGCCTCCCAAAGTGCTGGGATTACAGGTGCAAGTCACCATGCCTGGCCTTATTCATTTTTAATTTATTTTTTAAGATATAATCTAAAGCTGTAAATGAATTCCAGTCTCTGCTGACTTCTAGGAGCATTCATTTCCTTCCCATTGCTCTCAGGTGTTCTTTAGCGGCAATGTTTAAGAAACACTGAGTTACTTCCCAAAGCCTTGGGCAGATTCCAGATCGGAAAACTGAGGCCGATAAGCACCTTGCTTGTCCATAGTGCAACAATGAGTCTATGGCAGCCTGCAGCCCTCTGGACCGCAGCCCTCACCTGCCGTACCTCAGGGCCCAGCCCAGGTACGGGATCTGAGGCAAAGCTCCCGTTGGCCAAGGGGATTCCAGGAAGATCACCCTGCCCTTCCAGTCAAGGTTGCACAACTGAGCCCAATATCCCAAATGGCGCTCCCAGGCCTGATGCTCAGGTCCTCCCAAAGAGGGGGGCACTGAGCAGGACAGGGATGGGGCCATCAGCTGCTGTCACCCACCCTGTAATTTCCTTTACTTTTATCCATTTTCCCCTCAATTATGTGCTGCTCAAAATGGTCCTTTTCGGCTTCCTCACGGGCTCTTGCCTGCTCATGCCTTCTTTGTGTCCTAGATAATTGCTAGTGACCTTTTCTAAGTGTACTAATTAAAGGTGCCGATTTAATATTATATTTAAGACAAGACACCCCACAATTTTCCAACTGGGCACATACTCCCCCGCCAAGAGTTGCTCTGCCTCTCTACAGAAGCTGGGCCCAGCCCTGGCGTCTCCGGGAAGCAGGGCTCATTTCTCCACCAGGGGAGGTATCCAGCAACCTCTAGTTGTGCTATTCCTACAGGAATGAGGCCAATGTCTGGGGTCCAGCTCCAGCCCAGTGCTCCTAGTTACAGCCATGCAGGAGAACCATCTCTGGCTGGGGGACCCTGGGGTACCTATGCCACACAGGTTTGCTTCCCACCTGAGAAACAGAATATACCTTGCATTTCAGGGCTGGAGAATACCTGGAGTTCCTTTTGTAAAAAATGGTGGTGAAATACACATTACATGAAATTGACCACTTCAACCATTTAAAGTACACAATTCAGTGGCATTTAGTACATTCACGATGCTATGCAACCACCACCACTAATTCCACAAGATTTTCATCATCCCCAAAGGAAACCCCATGCCCGTGAACCAGTCACTCCCACTGCTCCCTTCCCTAGTCCCTGGCAACCACAAATCCACTTCCTGTTTCTATGGATTCGCCTATTCCAGATCTTTTATATGAATGGAATCATACGATATGTGGCCTTTTGTGTCTGGCCTCTTTCACTTAGCCTAATGTTTTCGTGGTTCATCCACACCGTAGCATGTATCAGTACTTCACTCCTTTTTAATGGCTGAATAATATTCCATTGTGTGAATGTAACACATCTTGTTTATTCATTGATCAGTTGACAGCTATTTGTGTTGTTGCCACCTGTTGGCTATTAGGAATAATGCCGCTATGAACATCTATATGCAAGTTTTTGTTTGAATATGTGTTTTCAATTCTTTTGGATGTACACTTAGGCGTGCAATTGCTGGAACATATAGTAATTCTACGTTTAAATTATTGAGGAACTGCCAAATTGTTCTCCATGGTGGCTGTATTATTTTACATTCTCACCAGCAATGGATGAGGCCTGGTGTTTTTTCAGCGGTAAGGAGGATACCCTGCTAGTCACAGGGGCTGGAATGCCCTCTTATGATAGAGAGATGGGAGCTGCCTGGGTCTTCACAGCAGATGCTATTGGTACCCTGCCCTCTATCCCTAAGCACATACATTTCCATACACGCCAGCCTGACCTCCAACTGCCAGCGCCTGTGAGTGTACACCCAAGTGGTCCTGGCCATCAGAGACTGCTCCTCCTAAACAGCACAGTCAGGAAGGGCCAGGGGACGGATGTCCGAACAGTGGAGCTCGCCAAGTGACTGTGGAAGATGATAGACAGGGATGATTATCCACCATGATTAGTGCTCAACAGTGTTATCCACCATGATTAGTGCTCAACAGTGTTAGCTATCATTGTCATGTTAGAACTGTCCTCAAAGTTCACTCACAAATGCTGC